AGAATTTACTAAAAGATATAGCATATCTTTAGTAAAGAAAACTAAACCTGTTCATGTAGAAGTCATAGATGGTCATCCATTGTCTTCTGGAGATATTACTCACAAAACCCTTCCTATAGAAATAATAATCAATAGTCATAATAGTTTTGTAGTATTTAATATCATTAGATCTCCCTCTAATCCAGTCATTTTAGGTTTATCGTGGTTAGAAAAATACAACCCTCAAATAGACTGTATTTCTCAAACTCTTACTTTTTCTAAAAGTATAACTAACAGTGTAGTTAATCAAGTAGAGAGTCATAAGTCCAATTCAATTAAACCCGTATTTATAGGTGCAAAAGCTATCTTGCATGCTGCTATGAAAGAATCACCATATATTATTTATGCTACACCCGTTTCTACTGGTGAAAAGACTTCAAGTGGCATTCCAAGCCAATATCAAGAATTTCAAGATATATTTGAAAAAAAAATGCGGATACACTCCCGGAACATTGTCCCTATGATTGCTCAATTGACCTTCAAGAAGGAGCACAACTGCCATTCGGACCAATCTACAGTTTATCACAAAATGAGTTGGCTGAACTCAAGGAGTATATAAAAGAAAATCTAGCCAAGAATTTTATATGCCATTCTAAATCTCCGGCAGTAGCTCTAATTCTATTTGTGAAGAAAAAAGATGGATCATTGCAGATGTGTGTTGATTATCGAGGACTCAATAAGATTACCATCAAGAACAGGTATCCACTACCTTTAATATCTGGACTTCTTGATCAGTTGAATCAAGCTAAGATCTATACAAAAATAGATCTTCGAGGAGCATACAATCTAGTACGCATCAAAGAAGGAGATGAATGGAAGACTACGTTTCAAACTAGGTATGGATATTTTGAATACAACATCATACCTTTTGGACTTACAAATGCACCAGCAGCTTTTCAACATCTAATGAATGATGTTTTTCAAGAGTTTTTGAACGATTTTGTGGTCTCTATGCCAAGATAGAAAAGTGTGTATTCTACACTACTCAAGTCGATTTCTTAGGTTACATCATTTCAAATGATGGACTTATGATGGATCCTAAGAAAGTTTAAACTATTATAGATTGGAAGATCACAAAAACGGTAAGAGATGTCTAATGTTTTTTGGGATTTGCCAACTACTATCAAATATTCATCAAAGACTTCTCTCAAGTTGCAGCTCCACTTACACGTTTGACTTGTAAAGACAAACTCCAATGGAATCAAGAAGCAGAAGTTTCTTTTGAATCTTTGAAGTTAGCGTTTGTTTCTGCATCAATCTTCTATCGTGTTGATTTTTCCAAAGCATTCTTTATGGAAACAAATGCATCGGACTTTGCTCTGGGTGCGGTTTTATCACAAATGGGAACAGATGACAAACTTCATCCACTAGCCTTTCATTCAAGAAAATTCTGAGTAGCAGAAATCAATTATGAGATCCACGACAAAGAACTTCTTGCAATTGTGGATCCTTTTCAAGAATGGTGTCATTATCTAGAAGGCACTTCCAGTCTAGTCACCGTGTATACGGATCACAAGAACCTCGAATATTTTATGTCAGCATGCGTATTAAATCGTCCCCAAGCTTGTTGGAGCATGTCTTTATCAAGATTCAAGTTCATCATCACTTATCGGCCAGGAAAACAACAAGGTTTGTCCGATGCCTTGTCTAGACATTCTTATCTTACACCAAAAGAAGGAGATGCAGCTTTTAAACAATAAAGAATGGTTCTCTTAAAGCCGGAGCAATTTCATCTTCGAGCAATAAAATCAACATTGACTGTTGATTTAACTTTTCTTAAGCAAGTCCAATTAAGTATGTCTTCAGACCCTCTTATTCATGATATCAAGAATAATTCTTCTAAATCTCATGATCCCTCTAAATTTGAATTCAAGAACAACCTACTCTATTTCGAAGGATGCCTATATGTTCCAGAAGGAGAAGCATGTTTATGTATTCTTCAAGCTCGTCACAACTTCCCAGCAACATGACATTTTGGATATAATAAGACTTTGGAGCTGATATCTAGGGATTTTTGGTGGCCTCAAATGTGGAAGGCAGTTAAAGACTTTGTACAATCATGTGATGTTTGCTCAAGATCGAAAACTCCTCGTCATCGACCTTTTGGACTTCTTCAGCCATTACCCATTCCAGAACAACCATGGTCTTCTGTTTCTATGGACTTCATCACGGATCTTCCAATCTCAGGTTCTTATGACTCTATATTCGTGATAGTAGATCGTTTTACCAAGATGGCACATTTTGTACCATGTACAGAATCTATCACAGGTGAAGAAATAGCTAAGCTCTTTCTTGACAATATTTATCGCTATCATGGATTATCCAAGCATATTATATCAGATAGGGGAACTCAATTTATATCAAGATTTTGGCGGACTCTTTTCAAGATTCTTAAAGTGGATATAAAACTATCTTTGACATTCCATCCTCAAATTGATGGACAAACGGAGCGTGTTAATCAAGTTTTGGAGCAATATTTAAGATGTACCATTAATTACCAACAAGATGATTGGATAACTCTTTTGCCATTGGCAGAGTTTGCTTACAATAACATGGTACATTCTTCTACAAAACAAACACCTTTCTTTGCTAATTAAGGTTATCATCCACGACTTGATACTTTTGACTTTTCAAAAGTTGATAATCCTGCTGCGAAAGATTTGGCAATTCATTTATCAGAGCTATATACAACGATGAAGGCATTGTTAAAAGAGGCTCAAGAACAACAAAAAGTCAATGCGGATGTCTATCCAAAGGAACAACCATCATTTATCTTAGGTGATAAGGTATGGCTACTTCGTCGCAATATCAAGACCACTCGTCCTTGTGACAAGTTGGACTATCAAAGGCTGGGAACATTTTCTATTTCTGTATAAATCAATCCAGTTGCATATCGTTTACATCTATTGGAGTCAATGAAAATCCATCCAGTATTCCACGTGTCTCTTCTTGAACCATACAAGACAGTGGACATACCAAGAAGACAATAAGCTCCACCTCCTCCTATAGAAGTGGACAATAATGAAGAGTTTGAAGTAGAAGAAGTCTTAGATTCAAGGCGGCGCCGAAATAAATTAGAATATCTTGTCCATTGACGTGGATATGGTATTAGTGAACGCACATGGGAGCCAATAAGGAATCTTGGAAATGCAGCAAAGGCGGTGGAGGCTTTTCATCGACGACATCTATCAAAATCAAGATAAAAACCTTCTTTATAAAAGAAACAACATCTAGGCAAGATAACATTCTACTTTCAATTCTTATTCGTAGCTTCTTTGTAGTAGTGACGCTCAGAAGATAGAGAACCAACAACCAACAGATTCGACTCAAGAGCCTTCATTTGCTGACCTGCCGGACGAGACATTACGATTGTCACAACCTTCAAGACGACGCAATCAAGATGAAGATCTTCAAGAACGACATGTTCTTCCTCGAATAGATGGCGAGATACAACACGTTTGGTATCACGATTTGGGAAGGGACTCCCAATGTTTGGTGATTGTGCTAGAGGTAGGAACAACTCCTGATGGTGTTCCAAATATTCTATTTGAAGGAAGTTACGAAGGCCTCAACAATGATCAAATAATTGGGTGGTCTTCCCGCCCTAGAATGGGACACTATCGATAGTTGAGAGGTCCTATCAATCATCTTCAAAGAGAACAAAGATTAGAGTATGTGGCGAATATAATTCGTCGCATCATAGATTTCCTCAATATATGATGATCGCTCTTCGTGGAACTCGTCCCTAGAAGGGGGGGGTAATGTCACGGACATAATCATGTAAGCTAGTAATTACATATACAAATAGGTAGAAGTAAGTAAAAGTAGGTAAAAGTAAGTTAATTCTATAGTATTTAATATGGAAGCTTCTTAGAAGCTTTATAGACGCTGCTTTGACTTCATAGGTGTCTTTAATTGACTTTTTGGATTAGAATCGTGGTCAACAAGTTGGCCATGTGCCACACATGTTGTTAACTTGAAGATCAAGCTAACTATGTGGCTCACACGTAGAAAAACTTGTCTTGTAAGTCAAGGCATGTGTTCTACAAAGTCAATACATATTGGAGGTCCTATAGAATGTCGCCACGTAGTCCCTAGTTAGATAGTATATATATAGAGACAAGAGTGAAGGCTTCTTCACTCTTGTCAACTCCTTTCTTGCTTCCAGTCTAATTTCAAGGATCTCTAGTTTTCTTGTCTTTTGGCAATAGCCATTCCAGTTTCTCTTTCAATATACATACTTGTTTATTTATATTTTGTTACCTTTCTTTGAGTGAAGGCTCACTTGTCTGAATTGTTTTTTCATCAAGTTCTTGTCCTTGACACATATATATATATATATATATATATATAGGAGAATGCTAAATAGATCCAAGATTTTACTAAATTTATCCACTCATTCTAATTATCATTAAAAAAATGACCTCCATATTCATTTCTCCACTATTGGATCCAAAACCAATGAAAACCAACCACATTCATCATGATTATCATATTCTTCATAATGAGTAAGTCGATTTTGCAAAAACTTAGGTCTATTTAACATTCCCTTATGTATAATATTAATATCAATTTTAGACTAATCAAGTATTTTTTATTTAGTTCATTCCAATAAAAATCATCTAGTCATAATAATCATACGGCAAATATTTTGTTAGAAGGCATTTTGTGTTACAAAATATTTTGCTACAAGGGATTTAAATGTAATAAGTATATATATAATATTACACAAATCAAGATGCACATTTTAACCATGTACATACAGACAGCCAGACACAACTGTTGTGCATTTGAAGTCAATATTTGAACCAAATTTGTTTCGCAACAAAAGCTGGTGAGAAAATTCACTCTAGCTGCAGGATAAAAACACAAATACAAATCTAGTTTGTGAGACTAAAAAATGGATTTAAAGAGTTAAAAAGATGCTTTGCAGTAAATGCACCCCTCAATGCTGGCACAGATACAGCAACGGCAAACAATGATGCGGTGGAATCATGTTGGTGTGAGCGACGGGTTGCGCTTAAATTTGCAGCTGAATTGCGATGATTCTGGAGTTCGCCATTGCTTGGCGGATACCGACGTCGTTGTAGAGATGCTTGTTGGGTTTGCCGTGGAGGTGATGTTGGAATTTTGGAGATATGAGGCTGAAGAATGATCGCGCTGTGTTTGCGAATGTAAGGGAGAAGCTGTGTGTGCAGTAGAAGTTAGGGTTCTTGTTCGTAAGCTTGCATTGAGTGGGAGTGATTTGAGAATTTGGGATATCAACAAATGATGGTGAATTGGGACTTTAGTTCACACATCGGAGGATTGAGTCTTTGGATCCTTCATTTGACAATAAAATGTCTTACCCCAAGTCCTGGAGGTCCTTCCGCTACATGGGTCTGCAGGGTAGATAACTGATCTGCGCAAAAGGTCATCGAAGAGCAGGAAGTCAACTTTCAGTTGCATCCTCGAGTGATTTCTAACATCCCCGATCATCACACCTGGATCATGGTGTTCACTAGTGATGCTTCTGGTTGCCAAACGTCGTGTGTACAGCTTGTGTGTCAGGGGTGCTTTGGGAGCGCATCGTTTAGATTTTTATCAGCTTCGAGCTTCTCCATGATCCGGTGGGAGTTTTATTGAATTGTGCTTCTTTTCGGCACTAAGCAAGCGCAATGTAAGTTGCTAATTTAGAATCACTCTTTTGAATGTCTCTTATACGGTTTTGCTCTGCATTCAGATTTTTATGAAATTTTGAGTCGCAGTTTATCTCATTCTTTCAACCGTGATGCAGTGGACTTTTGTAGCTGGTTCTTCAGTTTGTTTGGTCTTTACACATGGGTTTTACGGGGTAGTATGTATTGATCCTTTTTATGCTGCCCTTCATTGTGTGCTTGTCAGTTTCTGGTTTCAGTCAGTTCCACTAATTTCATTAGTTCATTGTCTGATATTTATTCCGATTCGGACAAGACAGGTTACTTGTGAGTGATCAGGTGCTATCTTAGTTATCAACTTCAAAACACCTAAATTTAGGTCGTTATTGTACATTGACAGCGATGTAGAGGACTCGGAAATGCGTTTGCATCAAGCCGTGAGTTCCTTTTGAACTGATGACCTTCAGCTGTACCGACGTTTTGGGTTGTGTTGACAATCACGATTGCTGGGTATGAGGATCAATTCAACCTTATTGCAACTGTTATATCTGTCCTCCAGTCGACTAAGTCAAGAAACTTGGCACTTGCCACTTTTCAGTGCCAGTTTGTGGACATTGATGAGGATCTAGTGTATGTACTGCTGAATCCTACTATCGACCATGCACAAAAGAACCTCCCTATCAGTAGTTTGTGAGTGGCAAGTTCCCCTGAGCTGCGAGTGTACGAGCAATGGCAATGTTAATTGTGAATTCTCACGGAAGGTACTACAACTCCGATGCATGTACTTCGAGGCTTAGAGGATGTACATGCATTGTTAAGATTTTCTTTAAAGTATGTAACTTTCGGCCATTGTATTCGTGCCACATATAGTGATTGATCTAATTTTTCCCTCTGATGGGGCTGTGCTTCAACGCAACGTACGAATTCTTATGATCAACCTCGCCTTGCTCAGTTTTCTGCCACGATGACCAAACACTTATCTATAGTCATTTGAGCTGAAATCCACAGTTCTTCCTGATGGTTTGAGTATCGTTCGTTTCCGTTACAGTATGTTGCCGGTCATACTTAGTTCTCACAGGAAAGCGTTTAAAGTTATTTTCATGTGCTTCAAGTATTACCTATATCCTCTTTGGTAGAAATACTTCTAAAACTGCATTAAACTTCCTACATTCAATAATTTTTTGTTGTCGAGGTGTATGGGTACTTAATTCTGACCGTTGTATAGAGCTCTATCTATGAATTTGTGAAAAAGTTTAATGCAGCTTATGACGTGAAAAATCGACGGGGTGGGTGGATTGCCTTGTTCTGGATTGAATTCAGCACCGATCAATCTTTGTATATACGATAGCATCAGCTAACTTGCAATTTGTGGGTGGTTAATGAACACTCGGATAGGTTGTGCAAGGAAATGCGCATTGAAATGAAGGTGATCATAGATGTGGTACTTGCTGCCTTCACTCAAGCCAGTCGGTAAGGTAAGCTTGTCGTAATCCCTGACAGGAAGTATTCTGAGTATGCGATTCCTTCATCTAAAGCAAGAATCTGAACTGAAGATGCTTCTGTTTTGTACCAATTTCGAATTTGCGATTCCCGAATGGCATCTGTTTTTCATTGTTGATTGGTCTCTTGTTCATACTATCCCTACATTCTGATTGCCTGCAAGGATCCAAATTATGACTTATTGGTTAATTTAAATTGCAAGACTTACATCAACGTTGAATATTGCTTAGTAAGTTGGCTTTCTCATTGCGCTTCGCAGGGACTCAATTGGATGTGTGGAATTACTATTGGTCGGCAAAATGTTCAGGCAGAGAACAGGCGTAATAGGTCATGTTCTCCAAACCTCCGAGTTTCAATAGTTTACTGCTGGTCTGGTGCTGTGAACAAAGAGGGTTCACCGGTCATCAGTTGCAGCTGCATAGACGCTTTCGTGACTAGTATGACTTGTTGATGAAGAATGAGACTGGGACTGACAACGTGTAACACCCCCCGTCTAATCTTATTAGTGGGTCGTGGCTATGTGAACAGTACTGCAGATAATTAAGTGTTTTGTTGTGCTTTGGTTGTATAATCGTCTCCCTGGTGGGTCCGTGTGATCTGGTCACAAGTCACGGTATAATCTTCTCCATGGGGATGGTGAAATACGACGATGGCCCACTACCTGCACCATCACCGATCAGGTACGCTCACTTGTCTGGATTTTCTTGTCTGATTTCCTCCACCTTGTTTCCTATACCACGTAATGCTGCGCTTCTTCAACCTTCCCAAATGCTCAAAGTGACTCCTCCTTGGCGCTCCCTCCCTCACAGGCTACTGCCACTGTTCATGTGGCTAGCTTAGCTCCCCAGTGAGGTACATTGTGTCTTCAGAGCAAAGACAAAGTGCAATATGCTACTCACCAGCAAGCCGTTGCTCAAGGACATGAGCTCTGTGCCCGCCATCGTAGGTTGAACCCCCTACGTGACATCAGACTTGTAAGTCCGCTGAATGGGTTCTCATCTTTTCTGTTGCTGCCACAAACTCTTTGTTCCAAAGAAACGACCAGTTGTGCTAGTACAGTGAAGGTGGTCCGCTTCCTCCCCCTGATTACCACATCCGATACCTTCCAGTGCACTATTGGGCGTGTGCTTTGTTGGCATATTGCCCACTAAGACAATATCTCATTGTCTTCATCCTCACCCTCATTCATTCGAGCGTTATGTATGCATTACGGCACAACAGTTGCTGCTCACACATGTGGTTAGTTGCAATTTTCCACTCTGGAAATTCATCAAAGTCAATGATTTAAAACGGGATGGAATTGAGGACCCAAAAAATACAGTACTAAAAAAATCTGGCAAAACAAATAAATAATCAAAGAATGAAGATGTGCAACGAAGGGAAAGCCTTCAACAAGCTCTTTTATTTTGGTGCATTAGCTAACAACATGGGGGCCCATGGGTTTGGTTCAGGATGTTTGGTATTCAAGATGTTGACTTGATTGATTTTGTGTTCTCGCATCTTGTGGACGCAGAAGATCTTCACTTGCCAAACCAGCAACTTTCCTAGTAGGAACCAATGAGAGCTTTGGTTTGATGCAAATGGCCATTATTGTCGTCATTGCAGTGGGTTTTAGACGAGTGTAGTTGCTAATTTGGTTTCGTACCTGACGGTGCTTGTGGGTCTTGGAAGCCCGAGATGGTCTTTATCAGAACTTGTGTTTACGACTTGTTTCTTGTGCATTCCGACCACATTTCTACGTTTATTTGAAGCCAGTAATGGAAATGGGCTTGGATTTTATCGTGCGATTCAGTGGTAATCCTTCAGGAAGGGATGTGTCCAGAAGATCCATTCCACAATCTCTGCCCAGTTCCATGAAACTGTAGGCCACTGTTGGATCAAATTTGGGGTACCTGAAATGACAAGCCCACTTGCAGCGTCAACATTTGCTATATGCTATCTCGCTATTCTAATTTAAGCACTTTGTCAAATGGGGAAAAAGAAAGGGAAAATGGCTTTAATATATGTGCAGATGCTCCACTGGGTGTGATCTTTGAAGTATATATGCTCTATTGTAAGTGGCACAACAATCCTGGCATGATCACATGTTCAGATTTGATAAAATCAATGTTTTGGTCAACCTAGACTGGAAAGATGTCCCTATGGTTTGAAACCTCTATGATCAAGTAGTATGAACAAATTGTATTTTATTCTACATCTTTGCCTTTTTTCTTCCTAATTATGGAAAGCAACAGGTCACCATTATGAAGACGATAGGGTCAATTTCTATTTTTCCTCGACGTGGACATGAACGAACCGGCGAAAGTAATAGGCAATACGTAACAATGTTTCAGAAACAGTGCTTTGCACTTATTGTAAGTCAAATTAGTTATTGAGATCGAAGGTTTGCCGAACACAAGCGATCTTTCCACTGACCAGGGCCAAGATAATTTCGAGCCCTTTCAGAAGAATTCTACGGTTGGGTTAGAAATCAGTTAGAAGCGGCCACATCCTGACATGATCCCATTCTCTGACTCCCACGACAGGGAATCACAAACAGCTGCTGGTACTCTAGTGCAGAGATGTAGCATGAACGGCCAACAGCGATCTTTCCACCAGAATGTTCCTTTGCCATTTACAAACACTGTACTTTGATAAGTTAGATCAACACACCACTTTGAGTAATTGTCAGGTCAGACCGCGTCCCCTCCTTTCAAGTCATCTCAAACAGGATAGAATTTCTGCAAGTAGATGTTTTCATCATCAATTACATCTTCATGAAAGTGAATCGACCTACAGGAGAAGCATAACTGCGTGAGACTTACGTTGAAAACCGACAGAATTGCGGATTTCATCAAAATGCAAAATCAAAGCTCTATGCAATAGAGTCGATTAAACGCCCACAAGCAAACATTTTGATATATATAAATTGAGCATGGCTACGTCTGATCGAACACATAAGCGCGATTTGAATATTATCCAACAGTCGTTTTTCCACTACCCAACATGTGAAGAAATGGATGGGTAAAAAAAACACATGCAGTTTCAACGCACTGAGGTCGGGAGAAATAATTGTGCGCCGAACTAACCACCAAAAGCCACTTGAAATGACGTCGCACAGCCAGGGTGTGCATCCACCGCCCAACTGTCGTCCCAGCTGCCCCCCATTCCTCTCCGTTCACACAAAAAAACAACCAGGGAGAGGAGCAGGTTTCTGTTCGTTTGTTACGATGAGGCTGAGCTGTCGTGTGGTGCGAAATGGGGGGTACCCCACCTTCGAAGTGAACTAGCAAGCACGTAAAGAAAGGAGGCGACAGCACAGAAAGATGGCAGCAGCAGCAGCAAAGCATGGGCCCAACTCCTCGCCTTCTTCTTGTGCTAATGCTGCTTCTTTTTCTTCTTCTCCTACAGCTAATGCTGCTGCAGCTGCAGCTACTTCATCTTCTTCATCATCATCTTCTTCTGTTTCTTCTTCTGCATATTCATCTTCTTCCGAGGCGAGGTGGGGGATGGATGGTGAGGTGGGGATAGGGTGGGCAGTGACACCCCTACGTGAGCTCCAGTTGTACATGACGGGCTCTCAGGGAACCATTTGATACATCCTTGGCAACTGTGCTAGTGCCGGACGAAGCCTCATTCCTGAGAAAGCACGAGAGTGAGGGTGACCATTTGGTTGAATGAATAGGTGCAGGCATGAATGGATACAAGTAAAATACTAGTATATCAGTTGAATAATCTCTGTAAGATAGAGTTACATTATAATTGGCACATACAATGGTATAAATGAAGTATAGTAATGCCATTGTTAGTCCCTACATTTCTGAACAAACTTCTCTTCCATAGGGACAGTCTCTCCTCTCACAGCACTTTGCAGTTCATGCACTGGAGTTGTAGCCACATCATGGTCAAAGCACATGTTGGGGTGGCATTCTACATCATCAAAATGCTGTATTTTTGAAGTCATGGATTGAACATAATTGAATGCACAATCATCCAACTTTTGAACTCTTCAACATTAGGGGATGTCTTATTGTTTCGAGAGCAATGTGATAGACTTAAAAGAGTAGAATTACATACCAAACAGGGAAAAAGTATGCAAGTGCTCAAATTTCTGTATCAAGAATAATCACAAATTTCTTGACACCCCAAATTTGGCCAACAGAATGTATTTGTGGGAATGCCAAGTTTGGCTTGTTTAAATGTTTGTTAATTTTCATGAAAGAGGTGTAATGCTTTAGCTGCCTTTATGACTAAATTGATTACTAAAGAAGAAGATAGTACATTTAAAGCAATCATACACACATATCATAACAAAAGTATGTTAATTGTGTGTATGGACAGACAATATAACCATGTGTTCATCCTTTTAGCAATCCCTCCCAGAAAATCTTTTACATTCAGTACTACATCAACATTATTTTTTAATATTTTTTACTTTTAAAAATAAAATGAAATTGTTTTTTCTAAAAAAAAATACTATTTTATAGTGATTTGACCATGAACTTGCTTCATTGAAGCCAAAAATCATTGACTTGTTGAGATGTCAAGGACATGGGTGATACCATGCATGCAGATGAATGTGACAAACATTCATGCTAACTATAACAATGGACAGGGACTGCTATGTTTACATACATATCTATATAATTTATTTTCAGATAAAAATGAAGATAATTCAAAAAAGAGAGGATGAAGATGGCAACAATTCACATATATATATATATATATATATAATAGAAAGGTTATATCAACAAGTACATGGCAATGGAGATCAAGCACCACAGTGACTTTCAACTTCACTTTCTGCAGGATGGAGCCACTAATTGTGTTTTAAAGTTAATCTTAACCCCTCATTTGTGTTAGAATACTTTCAATTAAATTAGAATCATGCACTTCATTTCATTCTTATCATCTAACAATCAACAGTAATGGATATGTGCATATCAAATAAAAAGAAGGAAGATTAATTTACAAAACATTTGGAGGGAATTTTAGGAGTTTGAAAGGAATCAACTATGTGTATGTGTAAATAAACAAATTGATTTGGGTTGCTTAGGTCAAGTTAATGTAGCAAAAGCAAGCACACAAAGATGGTACCAATGAAGGGAGTAAGAAAATGACCACTGTGAATAGGTTTGTGTGGTGTTAGCATTGGGCAAGTGTTTTTGCTGGTTCTACACAGATACACAGATACACTCTAATTCCAGTATTGGAACTAATTTTAAAAAAAATCCAAAAATGAAGATAAACTAAGAAAATACAACAAGTTCCCACCACATAGGCTAGATACCAGGCTAATACTTGTAGCACTTGCTCTCTTGACTTCTTCTATTTTTCTTCTCTAGAAGTAAGGAAGAAGGGGAGATAACAAACAAGGAAAATAAAAATAAAAATTTAGAGACTTGTGCAATTGTGTGAGCTACAAAAGGGGCACAGAGTATCTGTGAAGTCAATGCAAAGCTGGCACATGTTTCCACCTTGGCTCTAGCTCCATCAAAACACACACACACCCTTCCAAATCTCATACAAAATCCTCGTTCTCGAAGCCCAAATTATTCACTACATACTGCCCTTGTTGACAAAGTTTAGCTAAGTATACACACATGCATACAACAAACAAAATGAACTCAATTTTCAATTACTCAATCAATAGAATACTGACATTATTAAGACCATGTGGGTCCAAAACATTAAAAGAAAGAAATGATCACTACATAATTGCTATAGCCAAAATCAGAGGAATTTCTCACAACGCTCCAAACTACTCATTTAAAATGTACCATTTAAATTGTCAACTTCATGTTATGCTTTTAAAATGAAACCGTCCAACATTTGATCCAAAACTGTGAGAAAATTTCTTACTCACAGTTTTTGTAGTTTCACCTTTTATGACTGCCTAAGATGCCACCATTACTCCGTTTGTTGTGTTCCAAACTCTTAGATATGACATGTTTTTAGTTTATTTCGATCATCTTGAAGGTAAGAATGGATTGGTGATGAAGCAGGCTTTAGATTCTAACTCCTCATTCACGATTCACAAGCAAGGATCACCTGAACCCCTCCAACCATCAGCGGCGTTCTTCCTCTGTGAGAATCACTGGAAATCCTGCATTGTGCTGATACCAAAGTTGACATGCGATGGCAGACGAAGGACGGAAGAGAGCTAGAAGCGGATCTCAAGGTGTGCATCGAAGAAGCAAGCACCGTGGACAAGTACGGGTTTAGAATATGAAACGAAAGTGGCAAAGTAGTTGAGAATGGAGGCAAAGTTCGTTAGAATTCTCAGTGCAGTCCAGCCCAAGTAACGCGAGTACCATCTCCTCTCAGCTGTAGTAAATTCTCTTATTCTCTCCGCCCTTGGCTCTGATTGATTAGCCTTTACTTTCTCACAGATCTCACTCATCGAGTGGAGTTCGATTAGTACGAGCAGAGCTAAATTCGAAAGAGCCAGAGATTCATGACTTCGTGCCGAATGGGCTTGCCGAGTTTAGCATCATCTAGACTCTAGATCCCACACTCAAGGGGTGCAGTGTACTTAGAAGGTGAATGTATCCCAACCTACTACGGACGTCCATAACATTTCACCGTTGTAAACCAGCTGGTCAGACATTCATTTAGCAGATGCGTGGACATGCACTTCTGCAGCCAGCGCCGCGGTTTTACACGTTACCAATGATGTTGCGTTCGGGATTTGTTTCCTTTTCTTAGCGGGGTGAAATAGTGGAATTAGTTGAGGACACGAGACGAGTTAGCGACGGTAGGAGAGATCAGTGGAGTGCGAGGGACAAAACTTGGTACGAGAACATTTGAGGGCGGCGGAGGGGACGTGCGACGTGAGGGACTTGGACTAAAAATAAAAAATAAAACTAAAAAAAACAGAATTATTCTAAGGTTGAATAATCTGCACAGGTGGGGAGGAAGTTTACCGAGATGCTCACTAGAAGGAAGTCGGTAACTAATGTGCGCCCAGTCGAGAGTGTAGCTCGACCAAGCATGAGAGTATTCGGAGTCGTATATACACAAGCTGGCAGACACACATCGGACGCCATGAACGGCTATAAGGACGCTGCCATCATAAGAGGCAGATGGAAGTTCGTTTCAGCTAGTTGTAACTGATACAGTGGTAGGCGGAGGACCTGCCCTCATCAACCTCATCAATCTCATCAACGAATGCACCTCGATAGGGGGACAACAGTCCAATTAATACGAAAGCATCGAATGTCAAGTTCTATATAACCGAAGCCTGTTACGATGGGTATTGCTTCACTGCAAGCTCGATTAGCACTCACGAACTAGACACAGCATCTGTAGGCAAGCGAGGTGATTGATTCTTCTACCAGTTCTGATTCTGATGATTACCAATGGCTGAGGTTTGTAGGAAGCTGAGTTGATCATAGTGACTCTTTAGATCTACTTAGTCAAGCCTTGTCAGCGGATCAGCTGTCTTACTTTGTGGAGTGAACCCTGAGGTAGATGCTTCGCTAACTGGTACCCTTTCTACTCCAGCAGAGAGATTGTGGCGTTTGCAGCTAGCTGGGCCTCTGAGGGGATTGATCCATATAAATAAAATCAAAGATAAATAAATGAGAAGTAGTTGCTAGAGAACTTCGATTGATTTAAAAGGAGATTTTCTTATGTCTAACTGCTGCTCCAAACTGCGAAAATGGAGTTGTGATAGCGTACTTGGAGGCTGAGCGCCAAATTGTGGACGTTGATTTGAAAACACGTCGATAGAAAAGTGATGGAGGACAATAGAATGGGAGATGGTCAGGTGGAGGAGTATAGCTCCAGGGTGATGCACCTTAGCGCACTCACATTGTGTGCGGCGATGGCAGTGATTCTTTTGCGTAGAGTGATGGGAAGTTGGAATGCGGACAAGACGCTTCCCCCAGGGCCGAAGGGATGGCCTATTGTGGGATCTCTCTACTCTTTGGGCCCCAGAACGATCCCCGCCTGCCGTAGGTTCACCACTTTAGCAGATAAGTATGGCCCTGTCATGTTCTTCCGGCTGGGATCCCGCCCCACTGTCATCGTCTCCAACGACAAAATGGCTCGAGAGCTCCTTCGGGTGCACGACCAGACGTTCGCGTCGCGCCCGAAGTTGGCCACTGGGAAACATTTCGGCTACAATTATAGTAGTGTGGTCTTCTCTCCGAGCGGAGCCCACTTCGTCCGCATGAAGAAGATCTACACCCATGAGCTCCTGTCTCCCAAGAAGGTGGAGCTTCTGAGCGCGTTGCGGATGGAGGAGGCGCACATCCTGCTGGTGGACGTATTACGGAATTCGGGAACGGAAGCCAATGGAGTGGTGAATATCACGTCCTTGGTGTTCAAAGCGAACTTGAACCTAATGGGGCGGATAGTCTTCAGCAAGCGGCTGTTCGGAGAATCCGCGACCATCAGTGCTCCGCCCCGAGAGGTGGAGAACTTCAAGTTCTTTGTCAAGTCTGCGACGAAGTTGGTTGGGTTGTTCAACATCGGTGACTACATACCTGCCCTTCGGTGGCTGGATCTCCAAGGTGATTGATTGACCTCTCACCTAGAATACATTGGATTCCGGTCGCTCACTAATTTCATCGAAACTGGTCAATCAGAGGATGGCATTTGCAGTGATTGGTTGGGTGATTGATTCATTTGACGCTCACAAACGTTGCATTGGCTTGTGAAATGTAGGGGTGGAGGGGGCACTCCTGCAATTGAAGCCACATCAAGAAGGGTTACTTCGGCCCATCATCCAAGAGTACCGCAAGATGAGTCTCAATTTGGAAGGGGGCATGAAGCAGAAGGAAGATGGTCGTGTCGACTTCATCGCTGCGTTAGTCTCCAACGACTCTGGCTTGTCGGATGAGAACATCATGGCTGTTGCAATTGTAAGTTAGACTGTCAACCTTCGGATGATAGGTTTCATTGTCCTCGCCACTTCTCATGAAAGTGATAGCAATTCTTTCGTAAATGCTCCCTTCAGCACTAAAGCAAATCAGGCATTTTGAACGGGTGTACTAAGCATTAAGATGTTGCCAATCCTTTAGTTCTCCCAGCTATCTCGAGGCTGAATGTTAGATAATCTACATAAAGCTAAGATTTCAAAATTCCTCCTGTTCACGGACGGTTGCGAATCAGTTCCCCCTTCGACATGAGTAAATCAGTTAGTAGCAGTTGCTAACCATTTATAGAACTGTTGTTTTAGGCCATTCCGTGAGATCATCCTTGTAAATCTGCAATAAAATATCAAGCGAGTTATTATAATTAATTGTGCCTGATTCCATATTGTTTTTCTCTGCAGGATGTGATGGTAGGCGGAAGTGACAGCACGTCCACCGCTGTCGAGTGGAGCATCACGGAGCTTCTCCGACACCCTGACTGCTTGCAAGCTGCACAAGAGGAGTTGGATTCGGTGGTAGGGCGAGACAGGCTGGTGGAAGAAGCCGACTGCGCCAACCTCCCATTCCTCAACTGCATCGTCAAGGAAACATTACGGCTTCATCCTCCCTCGCCTCTCGCCATCCCTCACTTCAGTGCCGAGGAATGCACCCTCGGAGGGTACCGCATCCCGGCCAACACCACAGCCTATGTCAATATCTATGCGATTGGGAGAGATGCCGCCACTTGGGAGAACCCAAACCGGTTTAACCCCACCAGGTTTAAAGACTCCAAGGTGAACGTCTACGGCCACGACTTCAATCTCTTGCCATTCTCGTCGGGACGAAGAGGATGTCCTGGCGTCCATTTTGCTCTCCCAACGTACAAGCTCGAGCTTGCGAACCTCCTCCACTGCTTCAAATGGTCACCTCCTCCCGGCGTTGATTTCAAAGATATCGACACCAAAGAGGCTGTGGGAGTAGTATGCTCTCGTCTCAATCCTCTAATGGCTTCCGTCACACCTCGCATACCAAGACATGTCATTCTCGCCAAGTAGTGTGACAAAACTACGAGTTGTAGCGAAAGCGCCCCTCATGGCGATGAAGACGGCTATACAAGTCGTATTCAGGTATTGTTCAAATTGTTGGAGAAGACTCTACCGGTATATACTACCTGTGCAATACTGAGGTCACCAAACATCACAAGCATTCCTTTGAAGTTGGAGAATTGGGTGTGCTACCCAGCAGTGAAAGAAGCTAACCTCGAGGTAGATAATCATCAACGAAGCACCTCGACACAGCACCTGATTACTAAAATATATTGCGTGATACTTCATTTACGTACGAACTGTAGCGACCACGTCGACACACCGACTTATAAGAATTAACCCCTGCCTTTAGAAAGCGATTTTGCAGCTTGACGTCGACAGTAACCGCAAGAACACACATCCAATTCTGTTGACATATGGTGATCTAGCAGAATGACTCTGTTCAAATATGAAGTTCCTGACAGCCTTTTGGGTTGCTTTTGTGAGAACGACAAGGTCAAGTACTGCAGTTTCAAGGTAGAATTCCATGTGGGTACCATGTACTACGTTTTGGAAACAAGGTTATGCAATGAGGTTGTACACGAATATTAGTTGCATAAAAACTTGATCTTCCATGATGCAAGTCCCAAGTACTTCAAGATAAAGTACTAAGAGTGGCATGTTACTGAGACTTGTGTACAAATCCTAAGTTTGCAACAGATGACTACACTGACAGCCTTATCACGCAACAGCTAAGCCCGATTTACATCACCGACAAGCAGTTCCAATATACTGTAGCTATTTGTTATCGGTAAGCAAATTTGAGTTCGACGATTTGCTGTTGATTTTGTACTTGAATCCATATGATGTGTAATTCGCCTACCGACTGCAGAATGGTATACGGTACTGATAGATGGTACACTGAAGGTTTCTTTACTGCAAATGGTGAAGTTATGGACATTCTAATGTGTTTGGCCTGAAATTTCCACAGATGACGTTAGACTGATTGTTGTCCAAATGTTTCCAGTTTTTGTGTCGTGGGACTGACTAACCTTTTGACCATGTCTCTAGTAACCTTCGAATCTCGAAACTTCTAGGCTTCCCCGTTTATTCGGCTCCAACGTAGGCAACCGAAGCATTTTTCAATTTCGGCTTCATCGTGCAAACATCCGCAGATTCGTGATTCGAAAGTAGTGTTACGCTAACTTCTCTTGTAATCTATGACGAAGAATGCCTGACGAACAGAATATCTTTCGATTACCAAAACTCAACAATATTTAATTAAATTTGCGTTGGACAGAATTTGACAATCTTCGAACAAAACATAAACAAAGCCCGCAGAGAGATCAAATTCCAAGTGGCTTGAGGGCAAGGTGTCGACAACGTGGATGAGTAGGCTTGATCAACTAGCTTGTGTAGCTGATTTCAACCGGAATGGCGCTGCTTGAATACTCAGAATTGCGGGATGCTCTTCTGCAAATTGACATTTGCTAGTGGCTGCCTTGAAGGACTGTCAGAGTATCACTGGGCATGAATAGCTACTTGCTACAGCCACTTGGTGCAAAGCTCGCTTGCAAATTTGATAATGGGAGAAAAGTCCAACAAATCACAACCCCTAGACCTGTTACATCCCCGCTCCAAGTGACACTGCGAAATTGTTAGAGTAGAAAAATCCAATAACATGGTTCCGACGTCGCCTAGGATTCATGAGGAGATAAGCAAGCTTCCTGGGCCCATCGAACCCATTTTCGGAAAAGGTTCATTCCCCGAATAGCCCAAGCAGGAACGAAACCACTGTAGCACCTGTTGCGCCTGCAATAGAAGCTTTGAGTTCTGAAGCATCTACTCGAGATTTGCGATTCCACGTAAACCTTACCAATCCCTATGCAGACATGTTCTTGTTTGTGAATTTCGAGCGTCTTTTAAAACACATTCGTAACAGATTGTTGGCGTTAAGTTGGATATCCTGCACACTCCCCATACTTGTTGAGCGATTTGACAATGGCGCTGTAGGCACGGATCACTAGCTATGGAACGGTTTACAAGCATGGCCTTGTACGAGTTGTTGTGTCCACGACGTACCAGCACTGTGGTCCCCAGCTCGACCGACGCTTCACTCCCAGCGAGGTACATCAGCTATCGTCCGCCACACATGAGCCTCGGCGGAGTTCATGTCACCAAACTATCATCGGAATACTATCGTGACCGACAAGAAAAGCAGTGTGAAATCGAGGGCTAGACTCTAAACCCTGAACCTATTTCTACCGTGCCTGCTAGGACAAGCTTGGGCAGGCAATTGAAATAAATCAAACTCCAGGCATTACATCTATGAATTAGCCATCTACCTTTGAATATTAAACTGGCTTGCATAGAATTTATCTGTGCTACCTTCTGTCAAGCACAGAATCCTGAAACCGCAGATTGTTGCGGCGTGCTAAGAAATCTGAACCTTGTCAGTTGGATAGTTATCACTTCTTTCAAAAATATTCCCAGATATAAGAAGAATGGCATGAGACTCAGTGACGTGCCCCAGTAATTCAGTCATCAGTGCATGTAGAAACTGAATTTCGTGGCATTTGGTTCCTTGGCAACCAAACTCACACGAGCACCATAGAGTGATATGCAGGGAACAGCAGGGCCCGCGTTGTATGGCCTGAAACCCCTTCATTTCACTTGGTAACTGTAGGACAGTTGCGTACCAGGCATATCTTTACCTGAAACTATAGAATGTTTTAAGAACTGGATTAGCTTCTCACTCATCATCATCAACAAAATCAAAATCATACAGTCGACTGTGGTAGACCAGCTAGCTCCTCGCTTGTGAAATCTTGTTAACTCAGATATGATAGATGCTTGAAAGACCATTCAATTCATGAGAATGAAATCACTCGATGCTAAGCCTCTTCAATGCATTGTCAAGTAGGGCAGGTCGGGAGTTAACGAATTTCGGCACCCAGAAGAAATGCAACCGTGTTATAAAGATATGCCGTAATCCCGGAGCACGGGATTTGATGTGCAGCCCAGAAATCATGTCCAAGTTCGGAATTAGTTGAAATTTTGCTCAGGTAATGCTACCGTTTGGCAGATGAGATCAACCTAGACTTATTATCCAGCTTCAGTACACAGTACATGGAAGGAATCAATCCTAATTGTTGCGTAATAATTTTGATGAGCTGAAACTGCTAACCTCTTTAAAAGTTCACTTACCAGTGCATCTGCACTGCGGTTCGAGTCCGACCATTGTTTCGGTTCCAGAAACTCACTATCTTGCTCGAATTAAGTTTTCCTCTCTTAAAGGTAAGCCAAGCATCATCGCCCTAAACCCGAATACTTCGATGTGCTCAGTGTGCATTGATTGGATGCCCCATTCGATGACCACTGGATGGAGCCCTACTCCGTAAAAATCATTGCATGGAATATTCTCCAGGAGGAATGAACAATATCGGAAGCGATTTTTTTGAATCCTGAACCAGGTGGTCACTGAGGTTAACGCAAAAATAGATTATCGATAAGCAGGAGACGGGATGATACCGGCATGAAAAACTCCGCCAAATGATGCTTTGTGGATAGGCACGACAGAATATTCCGGAGCGCAGATTGACTTCTACCCAGAATGATCTACTTTTCACTACACCCTTCACGCATGTCACCACATTCATCAATATCTTCTAGGTCCATCCGTTCACGTTATAGCCATGCGCATCCTTTGGCGATTAGGTAGGGTCGCCTACTTGTCACCAGCGCAGATATTCTTCCTGTCGTAGTCCGTCATCACTGTAGACAATCAAGGTGACCATCTTCTGTGCATCTCGCTTCCGCAGATGCTCGCCCTGCCGCTGATGCAATCGTACATCAGAAATCTTTTCTAAATATCTATCTATTGGTGCATCGATTTGCCGAGTTGCGTTGCCTTTGAGGCAGTTTACGCGTGCACTTGTTGGCGGCTGTGCTTGCATTTCTTCATTGGTCATCTGGGTTTGAGCTTGCGGGGAGATTTGATTGTTAGCACATTTCTCAAGGACATGGCAGTCTCAGCGAATGCTAACGGCCAGGAGGTCTCGGCAGCCAAGAAGGATGCAGTGAGGGATAAGTCTGTGTATAGCCCAGTTCAGACGAGTCGGATTGACCACACACCAACGCTGCCCTCTGTGTTGCAAGGCAACTTCAAGCTCAATCATGGGCCTCCTTCGACTTCGGCGGGACAACCTGAGGAGATACAGAAGTTGTTTCCATGCTTATTCGGGCAACCCTCGGTGCAGATTGTGAAGAGCGATAGCCCATCGTACAATGTGGACCAAAAGTTGAAGGTTGGGGTGGTGCTGTCAGGCGGACAAGCTCCCGGGGGTCACAATGTGATCGCAGGGTTCTTCGATTATCTCCAGGCGCACGCCCCCGGGAGTGTGTTGTATGGGTTTAAGGGCGGCCCTGCCGGGATTATGCGTAACAAGGTGGTGGAGATTACTGCTGAGTTTCTGTATCCTTACAGAAACCAGGGAGGGTTCGATATTATTTGCAGTGGCAGGGATAAGATTGAGACGCCGGAGCAATTTCAGCAAGCTGTAGATACTGTGACGAAGTTGGACCTGGATGGGCTGGTGGTGATTGGAGGCGATGACTCCAACACGAATGCTGCCCTCCTTGGCGAGTACTTCAGATCGAAGAAAGTGAAGTGTCATGTCATTGGATGTCCGAAGACCATTGACGGGGATTTGAAGTCGGTGGAGGTCCCCATCAGCTTCGGATTCGACACTGCATGCAAGATATACGCTGAGATGATCGGCAACATTATGGTGGATGCTCGATCGACCGGCAAATATTATCATTTCGTCCGGCTCATGGGCAGAGCTGCCTCCCACATCACCCTGGAGTGCGCGCTGCAAACGCATCCTAATGTGGCCATTATTGGGGAGGAGGTGAACTCGCAAAACAAGACCCTGAGGGAAGTTACCAACAGCATTGCGGATTTGGTGTGCCAGCGCGCGGAGATGGGGAAGCATTATGGCGTGGTGCTGATCCCCGAGGGACTTATCGACTTCATCCCGGAGATCCAACATCTCATTTCAGAGCTCAACGAAATCCTCGCCAATCAAGGCTGCGACGAGCATGGACACTGGAAGAGCACCTTAAAACCTCCCTCTCGGGCACTCTTCGACTCTCTTCCCCACAGCATTCAGGAGGAGCTGCTTTTGGAGCGAGATCCCCACGGCAACGTCCAAGTCTCTCGAATCGAGATGGAGAAGATGCTGATCTCCATGATCGAAACTGAACTCTTCGCCCGCAAACACGAGGGGAGTTACTCCGGCCAATTCAAGGGCCAAGCGCATTTCTTCGGCTACGAGGGACGATGTGGAATGCCCACCAACTTCGACACTACGTATTGTTACGCCCTCGGGTACGCCGCAGGAGCTCTCATGCATTTGGGCCAGACAGGATTGATTGCCTCTGTGGCCAATCTCACCGCACCAGCGTCAGAATGGACCGTTGGCGGGACCGCCCTGACCCAGCTCATGGACGTTGAGAGGCGAAACGGGAAGAACAAGCCCGTGATTAAGAAGGCTATGGTGGAGCTCAACGGCGCCCCATTCAAAAAATTCGCATCTGTACGCGACGCTTGGGCTGTGGAGGACAGCTACGTGAGCCCCGGCCCGATCCAGTTCGCAGGCCCCACGTCTGACGACACCAACTTTACGTTGAAGCTCGAACTCGGCGCTCCGGTGGACGTGTAGCTGCTGAACACTTCGATCAACAGGAATGCAGCAATGGCCTTGCAAGTTTAGGGCTTTGAAGCGCGTTCCTCATCCTCCCCCGGCCCTACACAAAACCCAGCTTGCCATTTGCCTTCCCCTTGTCCATTGCCAGGATTGCATCCTGCGCATGGACGCTGTGCGATACTGCTTTCAGGTTGTTGGGTGCATGTTTAGGGTTTGGCCTCTTCCATGTCAAGCCCCTCCAGCCATGACATGTGTAACTCCGCTTTTCCTACATTTTTGAAAGGATAACACGGTTCCGGAACTGTTCAATTCATTAGCTACAACTATTTTTACAATTATCTTTACTGTTTTGTTGTGTGCGTGTGTGTGTGTTACCATTACTCCCTTAACTCGAACCTTCCGTTTTGAGCTCTAGAATCAGAGGCTTGTGGTCCTTGGTTGTTTGTGTTTGTGAATGAATCAAGCTTACCGTTTCTTCCATGTATTATTTTCACACTCATTTGTGCTCTAGCGTTGCATATTCTAACTTTATAACAGGAGTTATTGTTTTATTTGTCTTAGTCCATGTGTTTTGCTGCAGTTATCGTGAAAATAGTCCTGATTGCCTCTTTTTCATGAACCGATTATTTGCAATGATTCAGTATCAATGTAATTCTTAAAGTTTGTAATTACGTGTAAATTGATGGTGCTTTTTTTTTTCAGAATTTTCTTGTGTCTTACATTGTTTACTTCCCAGTTCAAACCCGGTTATTATTTTCTTCCACATTTAATTCTTTAGATTTTAGAGATGATATCAAAATGAAGTATTCTGCAGTTTAACAAGATAGAAATGTAATAATTAAAAATCAACATTACACAAAAAGACGAATTATTAAATAAATAACCTATCCCTCATCTAACAATGGTGTTAGTTTGTACATTCACGTGCAAGTATAAGTCAAGGGAAATCAGAATACATGATTGTAAATAAAATAACTAAATAACTAAATAAAATGGTTGCAAAATTATAGTCCATTGGAGAGATGAGGGAAAAAAACGAAACAAACTAAAAGAAACAAGAAAACAAAGGTTAAAAAATTACACAAAAATCCTGAAAATTGTCCCATCTTCCAATTGAAAGAACCTTTTTTAGTATTTAAAGATTATGGTAATTCACATAGTTTATACATTACATTTAATTTTAGTCACTTTTTGAATGGAACTATTATTTAGAGTTTGAATGATTGTAAATTACTTTTAATAGTTTAGCAAGGTTCAAATGATTTTTTATAATAATTATTCAATAATTTTTAAAAACAGTTTTTTTGCTTTAAAGTACACAAATTATTAATCCCTGAGCTAACATTGCACAAATTGTATTTGGAAATTTTAACTGTTGAATACCCTATCATGGTCAAAACAACAAAGTTGAACAATGTTACTATGCAAGTAAAATAAAATTGAAAGAATTGACAGATGGAATTATTACATTAAAATATTCTACTAAAATATATTTTAGTAGAATATTGACCCACTTATCAAAAACATTAGTTTCTAAATTAATAAATTAGATTACTATTATCAATCATAAATACATGATTATGTTAATATTAAATCTATTATAATTTATTGTAAAATAAACTATTATTAAAAAAACAGTTTCAATATATAGTTTGCAAACTTTCTATTACGAAAAATCAAGTTGTTATTAAGAAGAAGAAGAAGACGAAATAATTAAAATTAACAAAAAACAAAAAAAAAACAAAACAAAACAAAACAAACAAAACAATTAAATATATACATTTTTTTATTTTTAATTTACAAGACATATATGTCAATGATGTGAAACTAGACAAAATTTTAAGAAGATATCATATTCATGTACTGTTAATAAGAAAGAAATAAAGAGAGAAGGAGAAGAAGAAAAGAAAAGAAAAGAAAACAAACAAACAAAATAATTATACAAACTCAAACTAAGATGGCAATACAAATAAGGCATTGGAAAAGATTGAAGATGGCCATAGTCTAGCTTCTATACATATTAGTAAACAAGAAAGCCATATGAAAGCTTTTTTTTTTGAATCTAGAAGCTTATATGATAAGCATCAAATTTGTAAGTCACTTTAAAAACAACATTGAAAAAATAATAAAACTTCTACAAGAAGATTGCATAGCCACACAATATATCTAGAATAAACCAAAGAATTCATTTATATCCAAGAAACATGCTTGATGATTTTTGAAAAATATATTATCAATGTCATATATATATATATATATATATATATATATATATATTATTTCTATTTAATTTTATACACTTCTATTTACTTGTTAAATTATTTTTTTCACTTGAGACAAAATCTTCAAAGAGCAGTCAAGTTTCTTCACAAATTGATGATGAGATTCAAGATTTGTTAAATAATTTAAGCTACAAAAGTTAATCTATGTTTTGAAGAAAGGTGGTCAACATGTCCTTTGAACCATTAATATTATTTTATACCTGAATAAGAGGAGTGTTGGGTTGTTTAATTATTACTAATGTCTTTACCAATATTGTCAAATAACATATTTTGAAATGCTGTTGAGTATATTACACATCTCTTATAACATCACCAAGCACATACAATATTTTTTTCAACTTATAATACTACATATATTGTAGTTCAATATCAATTTGAGGAATTATATGTATTTTTTAATTTTTTAAAAGATTAAAACATAGCATAAAGAAATCATTACTCATTTTTTTTTATCTTTATATATTTAATTAGAATTCTTATTTTAATATTAAATGCAATAACTTATTTATTTTTAGTTTCAATAAATCGAAGTTTTATATAATGCTTTACCAACAAATATTTATATCAATAATCATATTTGGATAGGCTTTAATGATATATATATATATATATATATATATATAATTTAGTCGTCTTACAAGACAAGAAATAAATTTGATGTTTGTAAGAAAAAGAACCAAAATATATTGCTCAATATACATTTATTTTCTTCAATTTATTTTTTGCGTGTCTATCATAAAGTTCTTGTTTCTTATTAGTTCTTCTACAAATATGATCATTTAAAATTATATATATATATATATATATATATATACAAACTCCAAAATATTTTAAGGCATTTAAAAATATTATCATTTTTAGCAAAAAATCTCAAGATCTACATCGTATATGATAATCTTGTGAAATTGTTGAAGACATAAATTCAAACAAAGTTTTGAAAATATAATATGCTTATGTACTATCAAGAATTAATAAAAGAAAGAAAATTGAAGTAATTTTGTAAGAGAAAAATGAACTACACATGCTATTTTTAATTATAAAGAAATTAGAGAGTCTTAAATCTAGACTAATATACAAAAAATACATTGGCAAGCATAAAAATAGGCTCAATCTTGCTTTCATATACAAATGTATCTACATTATTTGATATCTATTAACTAATATTTCTTACTTGCTTGATAATATTTGTTGGAACAAGTGTCATTCTCAGATCATAAAATTTACTCATTAACTAATATTCCTCACATAATTTATATAATTTCTTTCTACCAAGGTCATAAATTAAGTGGGATACATATGTATACTAATTAATAAGAAGACCAAATGAAAGTTTGTTTAGAACTATGGGATTTTTGGATTAAAGATTCAAGTTATAAACAACTTTTAAGATCTTTTTTATAACCATGTAAGTTTATATAGAAGGTTTATAGATATAACCTATATCAAAAACATTTCTTTAGAAGTTTATTAAAAGGTGTATTATCTACTTAGTATATTTTAATCTTTATTTAATTATTTAAATATGTATATAATTTTTGTATTGAATCTTATTAAATTTATGCTTTTAAGAATATGTAGATATAAACTTTGAGTTTAGTTTATCACACAAATTAATTAACTTTTATAATTTTTTGGAAAAATATGGTTGATCTTTAAAAACAATAAAATAGCATCAAATACCAATTTGCATTGTTTTTTAAGTTCCTTAATATAAATCTTATACTTTCTTGATTTTTTAAATTTTGAACATTGCAATTTTCTACCAGCAACTTATAAGTACATGCATTAACAAGTTAACAATATTAGTTGATAAAAAATTGTCTAAAATTCAAGCAAAAGATATGTGTTTTGTAGGAACAAAAATGGTATTTTTATTATCATATTCACAATACATATATATTTTTAAACATATTTAGTTTAGATAGTATTTTCTTAAAATATTTCTTAATACTACCAAACTTTCTTATCATATATGAAAAAAATGCAATATAAATGTTCAATGTTTTTTTTAGAATCTTTTAAAATTACAAGTTAGAATAATGATTTTAGATTGAAGGCTCTTGACATAAAAAAGAGTTGTATTTAACCAATTTTTGTAAGAATTAAAAAAAAAAAAAAAAAAACAAAAATAAAAACAAAACAAAACATATACAATCATGGTGTTGTGTGTGCTTTTTTGTTTGTTTTGTTTGTTTTGTTTTGTATTTTTGTATTTATTGATCGATTTATTTATTTTTGTTGTTTTCAGCTTATTGTCTTTTGACAAAGAGCATATTCCATTATCTCAAGAAATCAAATTATTGCCATACACATGATTTCAAAATAAGTAAACAACAAAAAATTGTGAAGAGGCTCACAAAAGTACTAAATCAACTCATTTCTGAATCATAACACAATTCTACAAATCTTGAAAGACCACGCCCAATATTTCTTTCAGAATGATAAACATATACCATAATATTAGAAATATATTATTTTTTTACTATTAAAAATTCTGAAAAAATGAATTTTTTAGCTTGATGAATCTGAAATTGCCAATAAATGGAAAACAATGATATTCTAACAAAGTAAAGAGGTGCTTTGGTTGTCAAATTACAAAGCAAGATTTTAGGTAATTAATTATTAACTGGAAGAGTATGGAGGAGTTCTCGAAGGTAATGGCATGCTTGCAAAGGCTGTCCATCGCGGCCGTCGATTATGGGGAGGGCTCTGAGCCCTAGGATGAGGAATTAGGGCTTCGGGGTTTTGGGGTCCACGAGATTGCCAAGAGACTGTCTCCCTCCCGCATCTGGTCTTTTGCCTGCCCTCGCTCGCCGTGTGCACGAAGGCCAGGATCGCAGAGTCCATTTGCCGGGTTTTACACCCACCATGAGTGCCGAGGCAGCCCCGGCCGTCGTGCCTGAGACGCTTCTCAAGAAGCGCAAGAGGGATGAGCAATGGGCTGCCGCGAAGTCCGCGGAGCTCTCCGCTGCGAAGACCCGGAACGCAAAGAATCGTACTCTGATCTTCAAGCGTGCCCAGCAGTATCAGGAGGAGTACGAGAAGCAGGTGAGGTGGCCTTGCGAATGGACTAGGTTTTTTCTTTCTTTGCTCGATAATTCGCGTCCTTAATCATTCGTGGAAGTTGCAGTGATAATCCGTCGATCATGGATTTGCCTGTCATTATTTGATGTGCGAAGGTGAATCCTAGGGTTTAGAGTAGTTGTGTAGGCTTCCTTCTATTTATGTGAATAATGTGAAGCAGTCTCCTATATTAAGTGCGTGTCGTTTGTCTAGATCGACTTTAGGGTTTTGCCAGTGAGAGGCTTAACGTCACGATCATTCGGATCTTCGTTGTTGTTGATGATGGTTACGATGTTGATGATTAGTGTTAACCTGTTCTCTTTAAATCTATGTTAGTGCTTAGGACTTCATATCAATGAGCTAAACAATGCTCACGAACACTGAGTCTCAGTTTATTTTAGACCACTTCTAAGTGCAGATGGACGCCTCTAGAATACTCAAGACCTAGTTTTGCATGAACAGGAGTGGCGAACCTAGTCGGGTTCAAATTTTGTGTGTTCTTGATCACGCATGCTGGATGGATTAGTGATGATATCTCTGTATGGTGTTTTGGAGTACTTTAGGGTTGCATGTCTTGCTTTTCAGAAATATTGAACATTTTTTTTTGGACTTCTGTTACCCCTTTCATATGCAGGAGAAGGAAATTATTAGTTTGAAGAGGGAGGCTAAGCTCAAGGGTGGATTCTATGTCGAGCCAGAACCTAAACTTATGTTTGTCATTCGAATCCGTGGGTTAGTTCAAAGTCATTTCAACTTATGCTCAATTTAGGAACGATTTTCATCATACTGAATTCACTTCGACCACTTTTATACTCTGCATTCCTGTCGAGTCATATTTCAGAATTCCTTATTCATTTTGAAGTCGGAGGTTCCATTCGAAAAATTCTGACTTAGGTCCCTTTCGATTCAGTATCAACGACATGCACCCCAAGGTTAGAAAGATCATGCAGCTGTTGAGGCTTAGACAGATCTTCAACGGTGTGTTCATGAAGGTGAACAAGGCCACTGTGAATATGTTGCGCAGAGTTGAGCCTTATGTCACATACGGGTGAGTTAACAGTCATTCTTGCTTTGTCATGGGTTTTAGGATTAGCTGCCTGTTTCGCATTGACGTATCATTTAGGGTGTTATTTAGAACTTTGGTGTCTCTAGGTTGAATAGCCCTAAATGTGAACTTGACTCAATCGAAACTTCGCTATCTTTCAGGTATCCGAACTTGAAAACCGTTAGGGAGTTGATCTACAAGCGTGGATATGGTAAGTTGAACAAGTCCCGCTCCGCGTTGACCGATAACAGTGTCATTGAGCAGGCACTTGGCAAGTTCGGTATTATCTGCATTGAAGATCTTATTCACGAGATTTACACTGTTGGTCCTCACTTCAAGGAGGCCAACAACTTTTTGTGGCCCTTTAAGCTTAGCGCCCCTCTTGGTGGTCTCACGAAGAAGAGAAACCACTACGTGGAGCACGGTGACGCTGGCAACAGAGAGGCCAAGTTGAACAACCTTGTCCGCCAGATGAACTAATGGTTTTTATCCATTGTTTATTTATGCGGTTATTATGTAGTAAAATTTTTACTAAATTATGAGGTTTCCATTTTTGTGATTTTGACCTCAGCGTGAATATCAGGTGTCGGTGTTGATCTCTTTCTGGTTGGTCGCTTGTAGATATTTGGTTGATAGATAAACACTTTGCTTGTTCTACGGTACCTTAGTGACTATTACCTGTAAATCAGTAATGCTAGCGATTGCGATGTTTGATGTTTCATTGCTTGTCACATGATGGCAATTTGGAGACATGTGGGAACAGGATGTTGAAATCGCTCTAATTGGGATGAATTCATAGTGGTAGCTGTGAGCATTGGCACATTAAATTAGTCTTAAATTTCATTCTACTATTTAGGTAACTGCCATGAGACAGGACAATTCATTTTTAAATAAACATCATGAGTATCTACGTTACCTTTTTAGTATATGAATTGCTATGTTTGAGAACGTTTTACAGGCTTTGTCTCGATTAATCGTTGTCCAAATTGTTTCTAATCTAGTTTAGCAAAAGTTGCCCAATTGTTTAAAATCATGGCTTACACAACAATGATAATCATTTCTAATCACTCTACTATTCTTTGGGTTGGTTCTGATCTGGTCTGGTTTAGGTCAGAAAAGAAAGAAATGATTTAATTTGGTTTAGGTTGAGAGTGGCCTTAACTAAATTAAACTAAACTATTTTTGTTAATTGTGTTAAATTTCTTAATGCGAATTGAATTTGTTTAATGCAAACATTAGTGTTTGGGTTCTGAGAATAAGAGGGAATTAAAATCCCAAAACTCTGAAGTCGTAATAGACTATACAACATCAATACCAACTAATATATAATTTACTTGGTTAATTATATTACTACATCTAAACTGCTTTGTCAGAAATATTGAGTTATTAAAAAAATATTAGACAAAGATAGAATATAGCCAAATGACATAGAATCAATAGTAGACAAACTAATGTAGCAATTAGATAACAAAGAAACCTTTTTGTACAACCATGATAAATTTTAGATAACTTGCAAGATATTTGGAACCAAAATATAGTCTATTTCTAGGCTTCCAACATTTGGGTTTGTTGTTTATTCATATGAAATTGATGTGACCTAACTCTAAAAACGTAAAATTTTGAAATACTCCCAAATTCTATACAATACTATTTCTAAAAAAATTGGCATCCACAATTGATATTAGAAAGATGCGTCTTTATTTGACTAAATCTTCTATGCATTGACAACTACATCTTTTTGTGCAACTTTAGTTTGTATACCTACCATGAAAATATTAGCAAAATCTTTTGTACTAATATTTTTTGAATTAGTCAAACCTACTTGTGATGTACGTAATTTTAACAAGATTTGTTTTTAATATAATAGACTTCATTTTTCCCCTATTATATATTTATAAATATATATATATATATATATATATATATATGTATATTTTCTTAAAGAAGGCATTACAAACAACACATAGAATAGAATCTATTGTCACTTATTGCATCTCTTATGTAGAAAACATATTTTGGAGTATTTTCATCAATTTTATTATATAATCTAATCTAATCCAATTCAATCCAATTCATCATTTTGTTTTTAGTAATTGCATACCTTCCCTTAGTAAGAACTACAAAGACTTTAAATACTTAGCTAACAATTGTTGCTAAAAGTTATTATTATTGATGGTAAGCAAAAATCAATGATCTACCTTGTTTTTTAACATAAAGTTTTTTTTTTTCTTCTTCTTCTTCAAACATCATTTATATTTTGTATATATATGTATTTTAAAACCTCTCAAGTCATATGTTTTTTTTAAAAAATAAATGACTTTTTTATACCAAGTTCAACCAATTCAAAGCCATATTTTGGATCTAGTTCTCTATATAAGATTAGAATTAAAGTCCATTCAAATTTTGGAATTTATTTTTTGACCACTTTTGGTACTATTGTTATAAGTTTATGTCTTAACAAAGTCTAAAGATTTTAATTTATTTAGATTTAAGGCTTTAATTATATGTATAGAAGCCAAGATGTTAGGCTTTTTCTAGATCAACCATTTCCTATCCATATTTAATGATTGTTATATATTAGCTATTCCAAATTATTATAATATATATGAGAAAATAAATATTACTTATTATAAAATGTTTTACATGACATTTATTTTTATAAGCTCGTCAATATTACAACACAAAAAGAAAAAACAATAAAAGACTATTCACTATATCAACATTGATTTTTGTTGGGTATCAATAATATATATTTATATATATTTTTTGAACTAATAATAAAAAATTAGTTAATATCTTCAATATTAATTGTTATGCCAAATAAAATATTGTTATTGGTCTAAGCTTATCTACAACAATTGACTTAGAGAATTTTATATGTTATTTGTAATACTAAGATACCAAGGATTTGAACTGATTGATGTCAAAACTAAAAAATATGCAAAGTTTTGAAAAAAATTATATATGACATGGTTACATGTTAAAAAAATATAGTCTTAAAAAATAAAAGATTGGTCAAAACAGTTGGCTTAATTTATGGTTTCTTGAGTCACCAAAATAATATCTTAAATGTATTTTAATGGCAAGAATGCTATTAGATTGGATTCGAAATTTCTGTAATTTTTTTAAAGTGTCTTTGTACAAATCAAGTACAAAGTAATGAGTAACGAAATATATATATATATATATATATATATTTTAATTACTAATGCATTTCTATGTCCAATAATGTATATATATATATATATAGAATATATTTTTAAAAATAAAAATATCAAAACTACCCCTGAAATTTTCTGAAATATCAAGAATACCCCCATATTCTTGATAATAGCACACATTTCACTCAATTTTGTCATTATATCACATCTACTCTTGTATCTTATAAGTTATCTCAAAATCTCCGATTTTAGGTTAAAATGTGGCGCAAGCCGTGCGGCCCTTTCCTGCAGATGTCTCCAGAGAATTGCGTTGCGGCACGCATTCTCTGCTGCGGTCCTCGCTGCCACCACCACTATGCGTGCACCCTCACCGCGACCTTCACCTCAAGTCTTCTATCGCGAGTCTTGTCTGGAGTGGGCTTTGCAGAGCTTCATGTGCCTCACAACCGTCTCCCTAGGCACAACGTTGTGCCTTCCCCTCACCTCAGTTCACATCACGGATTCTCTCAATTATCACACCCCTTTGCACTTTTAATGCGGACATATCCCTATCTCATGTGCGATAAAACACATATTTTTTCCCACCTCTTGGGTTCAACGAGGTTCATCTACCCTCATGTACATTGTCGCAAAATTTATCGGCTCTCCATTGCATTATTCAAAACATTGTTGGGTCGTGATTATGTCAGCAGCGCTGTGAAGGATAAAAAATCCTCACTGTCTTTGGTATCCATTCAACCAATTCTGTCCCGCAAAGATCCACTTGAATGCGCTCTCTCTCTTGCTCTCTTACAGCGCTACGAAACTCGACTTATATTCGTGTATGCTCCACATTGCCAAGCAATTGTCAACTCATTCTTTGCTACGATTGTACTTAATGAGTTCTAACCACCTTAGCGCAACTCTGGTGGCTGCCCTTATAATTTAGTTTCTGTAAGTAGCTGTGTCTGACTTTGTCTCAGCCATGTCTCACGTAGGAAGGAAACTTAACTGTTAACTAAGCTCAAAAGGATTGGAAGCACTAATCACATGCTCTTTTGGAATGATGGTTTGTGAGTCTTAACCATGAAGATATGGTTGCTGTGTGTTGAAATTTCTGAATAGAGGGCCAACTTTCATGGATTGCGACATGTTTATTTCTTTGTTTCTTTGTTTTTTAGGATGTAAGTAAGTGTCTCTTTGCTATTGATTTTGAAGGATAAAAAAGTTAAAAAAAATCTTTGCTCTAATTCAACATTTTAGCATAGGACAATAAATGCAAATCTTAGCAGGTTGATATCTATTTCACCTTAGGAAAATTATTTGTTTTTATAATGTCTAGTTTTGTGACTCCAATTCACACTTGAGCAAATTTTACAAAGTAATTAGATAGTTTTAGAGGGTTTTATAGGTTTAATTAGTAGTTAGTTTTTATTGTAATCTATAACAATTATGTATTGTTTGTCTTACTTCAGTAAAATAATTTAAAAAAAGCTATTTCTTTTGAAGATTTTATCATAATAAAGCTGTTATGTAGTCTAAAAGCAAGCATTGTCTATCAATGAATGTAATATCCTCACATAGCTTCTCTAAAAACCATCTTTTTCAAATTTTCCTTATTTTTGATCAAAAAGAAAAACACAATTATGCATGGCGGCTTGTTACTTGGACAGTATAATTTTTTTATCATTATTTCTACAAAATTTTGCTCAGTAGTATTTCCTAAAAATAAAAAAAATCATTTTTAAATTTATGAGATAGTTAACTTACAAAACTTATTTATTCTTCTTCTTATTTTGTATCTTTATGAATTTAAAGCTATTTCTTTATGTTGGATGAATAAATTTAGAATTGATTATTTTTTGGTATTTTTTGGTATTTTTATTTTATTAATAATTAAAAATAAATAAATATATGCATATATATATATATATTTTTTTTTTTGGTGATTTGTTTTGAAGAAGAGATAATATGATTTTTTAATAGACTTATACATTTTTTTTGTGTAATAGAAGTCTTTTGGATTCTACTTTAGTTAATCATTAGTCTATAGTATATAGAAGAAAAATATCTAATGTTTTCAAGACCTTGGCATTCAAGGATTTTATATCTAAGAAAGAATGGATAGTAGTAGGATTGTTATTTTAAAAGGCCTTTTTTATATTGGTACACATATTTATGTAATCATTATGTAAATTCTTTAGAATATTTTTATTTTTTAAATTCTATTTTTTTTATTTATTTCCTTATATATAATTTATTAAAATTTAGAATAAAAAATAGTCTCTAGAAGTATCAAGTTAGCCAAAGGTTCTCACTTATTTTTCAAACTTATATATAGAGGTCTAGTTCAATTAAATTAAGTCTAAACGAATTGAATTTTTTATATTAAATAATTATATATATATACATATATATATATATATTTAATATAAAATAATATTATATTTTTTTACAAAA